GTGCTGCGAGTATGCGAAATGTAAGACTGTAATTAAACTTCGACCATCCTGGAGACTACACTTTCTTAGAATATTGCCATTCGACAAATTATAAGACCTTCCATTTATCTTTAAAGTTTAAGCTATCTGTTATTGACTGAGAAAAGCTGGTAATTCATTGTAGTTAAAACTACAACTAATGCAGTTATAATTGTAATTGTGCCGCCCAGATGGTATAGTGGTTAGGGAAGCCTGACTGCGATACCGAAGGGCCTGGGTTCGAATCCCGGAGAAGGCATGGCTTTAACTGTTCGTCCTTTCATAGGAGGCGATGGTGGCCCACATATTAGATGCCTCCATAATAAAGTGACTGCAACTTCTGGCCTTGTATAGACTAATGGACTGTGTTGCACTGTAACTGTTCACCAATCTGCCATTGGGGAAAAAAAATAATAATAATTGTAATACAATGATTGTTCGAATTACAATATAACTTCAAAAGCAATTAGATTTTTCGCTCAGCAGAGTAATAAGTCGTCTTTTGAATACTACTAGTTCAAATCGGATGCCCATTTTGGCAAACAATCTAAATGTTTAGATAGCTCCGTGGATTTCCTTATGTGTAACATGAATACAAATCATTTTATTTTAGAAAGTTCTCTATGAGTACATCATTCTTCTTAAACGTTTCGTTGCATTCAATTAAATAAAGATCTTTTTCTGCTTTTATTAACGGGTGATGTGAACATGAGCCAGTTTCCCTTAGAAAGTCCTCCACAGAAGCATCTTTGCAGTCTTTACCGTAATCCAAATAATATGACAATCACAGGTGCATAAGAAAATTGTACTTTTATTTGTTCTTACGTGAAACAATGATGGAAAATAGTTCATGCAAGTACTTTCACTTGTAACTGAATAATGCATTTTAACTATTTATGGAAAATGTGTGTTATGTTGAATAAAAGACCAATTCGTAATTTTTTTTTTCCAATGGCAGGTAGTAGCCGTTTATAGACATTGATCACTACTAAGGCCGGTCATGTTATTAAGGAGGGAACTAATACGTGGGCCACCGTTGCCACCTATGAAGAGGACGAAGAAATTACATTCATGCCCTATCCGGGATTCGAACCCAGGCTCTTCGGTACGGCAACCAGAGTCACGAACCGCTTTACTGTCTGGGCGGTAATTCATAATAAATGGATTTAGTAAAATGTCTAATACACACAGCAATTAAGCATACTGATTGCTGATCAGAATCCTTTTTTTACCAGCTAAAGCAATAGGTTGGATAAAATTATGAGACTTAGTTTAGTCCTTGATGATCTCCTTTCTGAAAAGAGGCCCACCAGCGGCCGAGCGGTAAAGTCGCTGAACACTGGTAGTTCGGTCCGAGGTTCGAATCTCGCGAACGGGCTGGCTGCATGGGTGTTTTCGTGGTTTTCCCCATGTGTAACGTGTATACGAGCCAGTTTCCCTTAGAAAGTCCTCCACGAAGGCATCCCTCCTCATAGGCAGATAGCCCTAGTGTGCTTTGCCATAATTAAATAAACCAAACCAAACCTTTCTGAAAAGAAAAGGATAAATGTAATTTTTATGATTTATTTCTTGTGTAATGTAAACAAGACAAGCGTCCCGTAACAAATCCTTTGCGAAAACATCCCTTTGCACTGGCATAAACTCTTTGCTTGCTTTCCCTTAATCTTGTAATTTAAGTTCACATGTATATCGAAGATCATAAACATACATATTTGCTTACTAACGTTATGTGCATTTCGGTCTATATAAAATATTTCCTTTAAATAAACTCCTATTTATGCTGGTACCACAAACTACAATATATGTAAGATGATTCAGAAGACATGACAGAAAATATTAATATTTTTCTTATAGGTGATTATCCCGTTGTATTATTTAAAAAACTCATTATCCAAAATGCAGAAACATTTCGAATATAATATTATTGACTGTAATTTTCAAATATTATCACGATTTCCTTAGCCTATGTCACTGAAATTATAAGGGGCAGTTGTTTTTCTGATTAAATAGTTACAATCATCTGCTGCGCAATTTTAATTAAGAGGTCATTACAATTGCATTGTAATTTTTATTAGATTATATAATTACAGTTATACTGTTTATTCAATTAGATTTCACAATTAAAATGCATATGAGTAAATTGTATATGTAATTAAAAATTGTTACATTGTAATTACAAGATAATTGCATATTATTATTCCAATTACTATGTGTTTTCAATTGCATTCTGCAATTACATTTGCAATTAAGATCATGATTTTCCTGGGCTACGTAACTGCTTTTATCAGAAACAATTGGTATCCTAATTACATTATTATAATTACTTACTAATTACTTACTGGAGTTACAATGACAGTCTAATTGTAATTAGATTATATGATTGCAGTTGTATTGAATATGAAATTGGATTTCACAAATATAGAGTAATTGTAATTTAAATGAAATTACGTAAATTGTAATTGTAATTAAAAAAACAGCTACTTTTTAACTATAATTACTTAGTAATTGACTAATTTTATTACAATTGCATACTACACTTAGAATTACAATTATGATCATAATTTCACTATGTTAAGTAATTCTAATTACCAACTGCAATTGCAGTTAAAATTACGTTGTAATTAGCTAATATTACCGTAGTTGTGATTAGATGCAATAAAATTTGTAATTGTAATTAGATTATATAATTATAATGTTTGTGATTATCATTGCATTGTAATTGTAAGACTTAAGAATTAAAATGCAATTGCATACATTATTGTTGCATTTAAAAAGTACTTACTTTCTAATTGTAATTGCGAAGCTAATTACAATTGCAATATAATTGAAATCACATATTTCAAAATATTGTTGCAGTTTCTTGCAATTTTAATTTTAATTCCAATTACATTTTGCCAAACTACATCTAAAATTTGGAGAATAATTAGGCTGGAAAATGAAAATTCTCTTTACATTTACATATAAACATTTAAGTTTACTATAGCTGGTATAAGCACAGAACAGCTGGAACAGCTGGAAGTTTTGAACGAGATTTTATTTCGAACTGTTATTCAAAACCTAACGATAAAACCCATTTGCCCCTAGCGAATAGTTTCCTCTTCTCAATTACCCCCCGCAGAGAAAAATTATCACCTGTCAGTTTACATTAAGAGCACTGAGGGGAGGGCATTCTGAGACAGGCCGTATATATGCTGCTTTGCCGTTTCGTGCCAAAATTTAGGTTTACGTATATATGCTGCCTTGCCGCTATGAGAGCCATTATTTTCAAACGCATATATACGGCCTTGCCGCCTGGAGGGTTAAAACATGTACGAGATGACTCGTAAATTTCTGTTTGTATTTGAATTTAAACACTCGCAAGCGGTGAGGTGGGTTAAACTTAATGTGTTTTAAATCTGTGTTTGTCTGTATGATGATTAAATATTCTGGTGGTGATAATTCATTTTCCAGAATAGGTGTATTTAATTATGGCAAAGCACATAATTAAATACACCTATTCTGTTTTTAATGTTCTATTGCTGGTGTTCTATTTTTTTTAATGGCAAAACGAAAGCGCTATTTGACCGTAGAAGATACACAAATGCTAAATGAGTCAAATTTGCTGATATTCTATTCCTATGACATTTGCAACATTGGATTTTGCGTACACCCATGTTTCAAAGAAAATCATAGTCTCTTTTTTGAAATATTGCTTCCTTTTCATTGTTTGCACATTGAATTTTTATGAAAGACAATTTTAATAGTTTTTAATTTTAATTATGTGTCGTGTTAAATAAAATCTGCGATTGTTTGGATATTTTCCCATATATATTTAATTGTGAGATAAAGGAAAAATTATATTATTCTAGAATGAGTATTTTATAAAATTTTTAAGGAAAATATAACAATAAAGCAATAAAGGTTAAAAATTATTTCTGACAACTACCTGAATGTTCTCATAATGTACCAAGAATTATAACAATTGGATGACAAATTTAATTTATACGAATTTTCTTCCAAACAATAGAGGTTTAAAATTAATTCTGACAACTACCTGAATGTTCTTCTCAGAAGAAAATGCTGGGCTTTCTGTCAGAAAAAGGAAATCTATTTGCACTGCACAACAGTTTCAGAATTGTAAATCAAAGAAATTAATTTTCCTGACTACATAACAGGAGAAATATTATTCCTTATTTATATTTACTTGCAACCATATTAGTTACATAGTTAGAAACATTTGAAGTACTTTACTTCAAATGTTTCTTTTCACAATAAGTAAGAAATTTTGGCTATTAAAAATATAGTTGTGACCCTCGAAATTTTCTGAATCCTGGCCCTGGTTATACACAGCATTTTCAACTGCATAAATATGAATTCTTTTAACATATAAAAATTCAGGTAATATAAAATTTTTTTAATGGATTAGCTTGAATAACCTGTTTTACATTCATAACTAAAGCCCAATAAAACTGACTTACCAACTGTAACGGACCAATAGCAATTTGAGTTTATTTAACACTTTTATAATAGCACTCGACTCACTCATCAATAAAAAAAATCATCTGTATTGTAGTGAGTAAAATTCATTTCTGGTTATTAATTCTTGGTAGCGCTGTGATTATCTGAATTAATAGCTACATATAAAATTTTCGATTTCTTTTAGAAGTTACTGAATACAAACAGGACAAGAAATATCAATGAATGAAAAATGAATTATTTTACCTGGCAATGCTTAGCATGATAACAGCATAACGCAATAAGCTGTTTACAGATTGGACAGCCACCATTTGTTTTCCTTTTGCAACTCTTTGCATGCTGAACAACTCTTTTCATCTTCTGACAGCTAGGCAAACGACAGTTTGCATCTCGACACTGGCATGCATGTACCAAGGATTGTATACATCGTTGAATAGACAACCTTCTAGATTCTTGGGGATTAGTCTGCTTTTGATCACAAGTTGCAGAATCATCATCTAAGCCAAAGCCCAATTTTTCCATTTTGTGATTATGGCCCTCTTTGTCAAAACAATTCACACACAAATCAAAATCCTAAAATGAAAAAATCAGTATAAACACGCAAGTTACACATATACAGCACATTTTCACATACACTACTTCTGGTAATTAAAATTCAAGCTCAGCCAGTTATTATACAAATGTATTCCTTAAACTAAGGAGAATACTTACATCACAAACAGTGCAATGATATCTTGTTTCGACATGTTTCTTGCAGTTATTACAAGTATAAACAAAACGATCTTGACCTTGATTATGCAATTCATACAACATAGCCATAGTTGAAAATTTTGTTCTACGCAATGAAGAAAATTCATAATGTTTTTCTCTAGCCAGTGTTAAAAATGCATCTCTACCATCCATCATATCACATGTAATAAAAGGATCAGGATCCACAATAGGAGGTAAACTAGCAGCAGCTTGAACAGAATGCAGACGAATCACAAAGAAAACCTAATTGAAATAAAATTTGTTAAATAACAAGGAAGTAAAAAAGAATATTAATTCTACTATTAAACTCTGGACTGAAAATGAACCGATAAAATGCAAACATCACTTTTTTAACTTTTATTATGTACCTGTAACACAAAATTATTTTTGTAAATGATAAAATTACCCAAATATTTTTCTGCTGTCAATACATAACCATTGAAGTCATTTTATTGAAAATACAAACTGGAACAGCTATATATATTTACTAAATTAGATACATCCAAAATTCTTATATATGTATACAGTCAAAAGTCGTTAATTCGGACACACATAATTCGGAATGATCTATAACCCGGACCTCAAAACTAAAAACTTTCTGTGCATGCGCAGCGTTGACACATGCACATAGGTGCTTCCGCGTGCGCGTAAGAACTTTTACGACTTCGCATATGAGTGTGCGCAAGTTCAGAATACGTTTTCGCGTGCACGTTTTATGTATAATGGACGTATAAGCTAAAATTATCTAATTATCTATTTCAGTTAATGTTGATGATTGCGTTGTTCCTTAATTTTCGAATTGGATCCGGCTTATTATTTTTTGCAGACTGTAAGAGCAATTTTATAAAAGTAAGCTTAAACTTTCGATTATATCAAATAGAATTTCCGATATATATTTGTTAATATGTAAATAAATATTAAGCTTTTTCTTTTTGCAAATTTTGAGACCCTTTAGATCATAATTGTTCTTTATTTCATAAATTACGGTTTCATATTTTTAATTTTAGAATTTCTGCATGCCATCTTAGATTTAAACTGATGATCTATAATCCGGAATCGACGAAGTCCCGACGAGTCCGGATTAACGACTTTTGAGTGTATATATCATATAAATAATTACACTGAAGAGCCATTACATTATGATCACCCTCCCTCCATAAACAAAACCACTCTGCATGCACAGCTGATGTTAAGAATGTTAAGAGTATATAAAGAGGCTATTCACTGCCTTCCAAAACAGTGCAATTAGTGACATAATGGGAAAAGCAGCTGATTTATCAGACTTCGATAAAGGTTAAATGGTTATGGCTCGGGGACTGGGAATATCAATATCAGAAACGACGCATTCAGTGGGCTATTCATGGACACATGTTGCAAAACACATATTGAAAGTGGTGTATGATGGTGAAATGATAAGTCGCAGGCCAATGTCAGATGCTAACTCTTTTATTTTAAATTATTTTTGGTTAGAAAACATTCTAAAAGTGGTATAAAGCTTAAAACATTATTGAATTCTTTGATTATTAGTTCTAGCTTCTTTTATACGTTGTTGATGGCATATTGATTCCAGAGGACAGCGAAGATAACTTTGCATTGTTTGCCATGACCGAAAAGCTACAACAATGGTGTCCCAGACAGTGTTTCTCAACGCTGTGCAGCATTCATTGCTGCGTATTGGCCTATGCAGATGGAGGCTGAAGCATGTCCCTGCACTGATGGATATCAATTGCCGGCTGCGTCTGCTATGGCCCACGAAACATTGGAATTGGGCATCAGAAGAATAGAAGAAAGCTGCATGGTCCGACGAATTACATTTTCTCGTCCATGACATTTAATAATAATAATAAAAAAAAGGCTCCCAGATGCACAGTTTGACGGAGACAAGCCAGTGGCAAAGGTTATCTGGTGTAGGTAATGTTTCCATGGAGCACATTAGGACCCACAGTTCCCATAGTACAATGCCCGACATTTGTGCAGACCAGGTTCACCATGCATGACAACAGTATTTCAGGCAGGGGTGGAGTTTAGAAACAGGATAACGCCACTCCCGACTTTCAAGTCATATCTTGGCCTACAAATTCACCTCTCATTAATCCAATAGAGCAGTGGCTTTCAACCTTTTGACTAACACATACCATCTAAACAAAAATTGAAAAACATTAGTACCACCACAATTTATAATGACTATTTTTCAATTTATCAATAAAGATATTTAAAAAATATATTTTTTGCCATCTGCACAGCCTATTGGCTATTTGTATTAAATATGCACATATTAAAAAATTGGTTACCATTTTAATTTAAATTATAATACCTTAATTTTAAAATTTAGTGCGAAATTTGGGCCTGTTTAAGAGAAACATATTTTTTTATCTCTGGTTTTTTTTTCACTTAGTTTTAACTGTAAATTAAGATCCATTTTTAACTTTGCTCTGTATTTATTTTTTTAATATGACACTGAAGAAAATCCTTGTTCACACAAATAGGTTGCACAAAAAGGCAATAAAAATTTAATAACTTTATTTGAAATGCCTTTAATTTTTTTTTTTTTTTTTTTTGGGCTCAGCTGCAACTGTGTTATTTTTGAAAGCTTCAGTTAGAGCTCAATCAAAGGAAATTTTCTATCAACTGTTCTGTTTCTTCACAAGATAAAATTTCAGATACATTTGAACAAAATGGATTTCTAATCCTAACAAAAATGGATTTCTTTTTCATAATCCTCGAGAAAATAAATGTTGAAATTATTTATCAATGAAAACAAATATTTTTAATGTTGGATGCTATTTCTTATATTTTCAAATTATTTTTGGTTAGAAAGCTTTCTTAAAGTGGTAAAGAGCTTTAAATATGACAAAATTCTTTTATTACTAGATCTAATTTTTTTTTTTATCTCTAATGATAAACAATTTAACACTTTGTCTGCGTAATCCTAAATTTAATTCATTTAACTTTCCAAAAGTGTCAATATCTATACGTTCTCTAAAAAATCATTTTTGCTATTCCAAATATTTAATCACAGAGAAAAATTTGAATTTCTGATTGAAGTTCAAAAAGACAATTTAAAACTTTGCCTCTGGATAACCACCTCTCTTCGAAATGTAACAAAAGCGATTCATAATCACTGCCCATCTCTTTACATAAAACTGTAAATAATCTTGAAGCTCAGCTTTTAATAAAATTAACAATTTTCACAGTTTGATTCAAAACAATTTTCAGGTTTCAGGGATTATTTTGGCTACTAAAGCTTTCATGATGAATGGAGCAGCGAGGAAATTTAGATTCAGATTTTAGTTCTTTATTTCAGAAATAACACCAGAATGTTTTCCTGTTAAAGCTTAAGCTCTGTCACTGCATAAAACAATGCACTTATTCCAAGGACCATCATTCTCAGACATGAATTTGTCAATTTAATTTGAATTGAAAATTTAATCTGCCTTTGCTCTAGCATGAAGAAATTCAGTCTTCGGCAATTCATTCACATTCTTTGAAAGGTATGTAAACTAATAACTGAATAAGTGTGTCTGAATATGCCATTTCATGAATTCGTCAACTTACTATATCATTTCATAACAGAATATATTAAGTTCATTAGCCGCATTTTCATTGACTAATGTTAAAATGATAGCTTTAGCTGCTGGAAATGTAAGGTTTTCTTCCATAGTGTAAGCCTGCACAGTCTTGGCAATTCTTAGGCTTGCTAGGTGACTAGATTCCAAAGCTTTTTCACTTGGAGTAACAAAACCTTTCATTACTTGTTTAGTGTTTTTGAACTGTGCTGATTTCCTCTTAAAATGTACTACTTCAGACCTTTAATCCTCTGAGCAGCAAAGGATTTTAGATCCGTCATGAAAACCGGTATTTAAACAGCATTTACTAATTAAGTTTTTATAATTACTTATTTTAGTCTTTATTTCCATGAACTTACAATCATTGAGATGATATTTACATTATTAAAGAAAGCAAAATTTCTGATGACCAGATAAATCTGGTATTAACGCTCAGAGGGTTAAGAAACAATGGTTTCATATTTTGATTGGATAGTTGTTAACCGCAAACAACACACTAAGGTTGAGGGTCCATTTCATATCCATTCCAAGAAAACCCAAATGATAAAAAGATAAAATAATTTTCATTATATTTCCTATAAACAATTTTTCTTTCCTTTTCAACATCCTTAGTGTTAGTAAATTTTCCTGGATCCATCACCAATGAATCATCACTTTTCTGCTCAGTCAGTCCTAGCCATTTTCCCATTTTGAAAAATCTAGTTTGTTTTATTATTTTTTCACAAATATTTAAATGCACAATATACTACAAGTTCTTCAAAAACAAACGCCAATATTCTTAAATCGCACAGAAAAGTAAGAAATACAAAGCAACAAGACAAAATATATATATATATATATATATATAAAAAATAGTAAGAAAAGTAAGAAATACAAAGCAACAAGACAAAATATATATATATATATATATATAATAAACAAACCACTTCTAATTAAAAACAGAGCTTATCGCTCTGTTTTCGATTAGAAGCGCCCCGGAAATGGTGGTGACTTAAAGTTGACATTCTAATAAATCAATCAACTCTAAAAGATCTAATGAGGTACTATTATCTTATTACAGAAACTTAAATTTCTTATTAAATACAACATCCATTTCTATTACTCCTTTTAAGAACATCATTTATGACAAATTTTGTTTCTTGAATAAAGCTCAGGTCAGAGAAAGAAGTTTAACAGGATGATGGAGTATTTAATTTTTTTATTTAATAATTAAAACACTTTTCTCCTTTACATACCACCTATTTTCCTCTTCTGCACCACCAGTTGAGAACAGCAGTGAAAATATTTTGCTGAAGTTCTTGAACAAAGCTCAAGTTGCATAAATTTACAAGTGTTAGAGAAAAACGTTTATCAGGATGTTGGAGTATTTAATTTTTGAATGTAATAGTTAAAAATACTTTTCTCCTTTGAGTACTACCTATTTTTCTTGTGTACCACCGGTTGAGAACCGCTGCAATACAGCATTTGTGGTCCCACCTGGAAAACCCAAAGTTGTGTTGACACACAACCCCCTCACAATGTGCGGGAATTGCAGGGTCAATTTGTGAGCGCTTGGTACCAGATACCTCATATGACCAATCAGCACCTTGTGGAGTCAATGCCATGCTGGGTGCTGACAGTTTAGAGGGCTAAAGGTGGTCCTCCTACATGTCATAGGTGGTCCTAATGTAATGACCC